AAAAAAAAAAAAAGCTCTGAGGCAGACAAACAACCTCTCTGACTTCAATCAGTTTCTTCAAGTATATATATTTTTAATGTTTATTTATTTTTGAAGCAGGCTCCAGGCTCCACGCTGTTAGCACAGAGCCTGACACAGGGCTCAAACCCACAAATGCGAGATTATGACCTGAGCCAAAGCTAGACGCTCAACTGACTGAGTCACCCAGGCGCCCCAGTTTCTTCAAGTATAAAATAAAAGGATTGGACAAGTTATCATCTCCAGTGTCCCTTCCAGGTCTGATATTTAATAATTCTAAATAAAAGAAGAAAGATATGGAGGCAGAACAATGGGCTCCCAAAGATATCCATGTCCTTCTTCAAAACCTGGGGTTATTTTAACTTACATGGAAAACAGGGCTTTGTAGATGTGATTAAGTTAAAGATTCTGAGATGACAAAATTATCCTGGATTTCCTGGGTGGGCCTAATGTAATCACAAGATTCCTTGTAAGAGGAAGACAGTACAGCCAGAGAAGGAGATGTGATGGTAGAAGCAAAGGTTAGAGTGATGGGACCATAAGCCAAGGAAAGTAGGTAGCCTCTAGAAGCTGGAAAAGGCAAGGAATGGTTCTCCCTAGAAATCCCTAGGAAAGTAGGCCTCTTGCTGACACCCTGATTTTAATCTGTAAGACCCATTTTGGACTTATGTCCTCTAGAACTGTAAAATAACTAATTTGTGTTGCTTTAAACTACTACATATGTGATGATTTGTTATAGTAGGTAAAGGAAACTATTATAACAGATATTTGTGGGAGTACAGGGAAGGGAGAAAGCACATCTGGTAGGAAGAATCCATTCTCAAGGTAAATGTACTATAATGAACCTCAACAATGAACAAAATGTAAAACTAAGATTCTACGTTTATTTATTTTTGGGACAGAGAGAGACAGAGCATGAACGGGCGAGGGGCAGAGAGAGAGGGAGACACAGAATCGGAAACAGGCTCCAGGCTCTGAGCCATCAGCCCAGAGCCCGACGCGGGGCTCGAACTCACGGATCGTGAGATCGTGACCTGGTTGAAGTCGGATGCTTAACCGACTGCACCACCCAAGCGCCCCTAAAACTAAGATTCTAAATTCAACTCCTTACTAGTAGAATGTTTTTGACAAATTTAACCATTATTTCTGATAGACTCAATGTTATTTTCTTAGCATATCTTTTTTTTTTTTTAATTTTTTTTTCAACGTTTATTTATTTTTGGGACAGAGAGAGACAGAGCATGAACAGGGGAGGGGCAGAGAGAGAGGGAGACACAGAATTGGAAACAGGCTCCATGCTCTGAGCCATCAGCCCAGAGCCCGACGCGGGGCTCGAACTCCCGGACCGCGAGATCGTGACCTGGCTGAAGTCGGACGCTCAACCGACTGCGCCACCCAGGCGCCCCATTTTCTTAGCATATCTTAAATGCTTCGGTGTGCTGAAAGTTATATTAAGATTTTATAGCATAAATGCTTTTTGGCATGATATGCACAGCATTATAAATGTAATAAATTATTCAATAAATACTATTAACATTGCTTCAGAACATATCATAAGGCTTACTGATCTCTATTACTAAAACTACATTACAAAGTACATACAGATGTTAACATCTTTCAAATGGTTTCATAATTAACTATATTGCCCAGAAGTCATAAATTTCAATTCATGTGTCTACTGCAGTTCTACTGTGGGCAGTTTAGAATTCTCAGAGTCATCTCTAGAAAGTTCTTATTCTGATATTGTCATACCTTAGATTACTTCATAGATGCAAAAAACTCAAGTACATTAACTAATTGGCATTTAAATAAAAACTTTTTAAAAACCCGTAACAATATACAGTATATATAATTCTTATGTTTTTATAAATGTTTGGTTAACAGATGAATATACTTTAAGCAAAAATTATAATATTTTTATATTTTAATCAGAAAATCAATGAAAGGTAAAAATTTGCCAATTTAGCTTTCTTTTTTCTCCATTTCTGGTTTACCTCAATAAATGAAAATTTCATCACCATTACTATACAAATTTTTCTATATTTCTCCTTGTTCTTTCTTCCTACCATCTCCCTTTTTGGCTCTTTTCTCTATATATTCACTCAACATTTTTTTATTGGCCTATTACACACCAAAAATACCATTATTAGCTGTACATGTAGGGTAGGGGCTGGCAAATTTTTGCTGTAAAGGACCCAAAAGTAAACACTTTAAGTGTGGCCATATCATGACTGGTCAGTCTATCTTTGCAGAGTGAAAACAGTTACAGGTATTATGAAAGTGAATGAGTGTGCCTATGTTCCAACACAACTTTATTTACAAAAACAAGCCACTGGCCAGAGTTGGCCCTGGATTACAGTTTGCTGACCCCTGACATAGGGAGTAGTTACTGATGGAATTTACCCTCAGAAAGGTAATATAACTTCATAAAATAGAAAATAACTTGTATGCCCCCTGACTCAGCCTGGAGTCAGGGGGCATACAAGTTATTTTAAGAGAGAATTCACTAAGTAGGAATCAAGTTGTTAACTAGAGAAGTGAAGAGGCCAAGAGAACTAAGGTATCATGGAGGGAACAAGTACAAGAAGTGAAATTCTAAGGTTGGGGGAAGAAAAGAAAAGAGACTGAGATTATCAAAACGGGGAAGTTCAGAAAAGGAGTCCTGTGGATTTGAAACTCCGATCCCTGAGGAGGGAGCTGTTTGGCTGGTGTTTGTGCCCCTGGAGGAAGAGCCCTATGGGGCTGGCGTAGGGAACTCTTGAGGAGTGGGAGCTGACTGCCTTGTGGTGCTGACATTTCTGACATGGGGTTCATTGGGCTGGTGCTGTGAGTGTCAGAAAAACTGCAAACTGGAATCAGGTATAGCTATGGGGAGGAAATGCTGCTGTGAAGAAACACTACTAGGATGATGGAAAACAAACAGGACACAAAAGGGAGCAAGTCTCTTTTTCCTCTGCCTGCCATGCAGTCTCCCTCTAGTGCACCCTCTCACCAGAGCTTAACAGATATGCCAGGGCTCCATGCTCATCGAATGTTACTGAGCAAATATTACATGGCAAGCAATGTTCTAGGGACTGAAAAAACAAAACAAAACAGTGGCAAATAAGACAGATCACACCTGAAAAAAAAACTACTCAGAGAAATACAAAGAGATAGGATTTAAACATAAGACTTCAAGAAGTCATAATAAAAATGCTAGTAGTGAGGAAGAAACAGACAAAAAAGTCAAAAAGAATAAATCAAATGCTCATAAAATAAAATGTAAATGTCAATAATAATTCCTCAAAAAGAATGCTCATGATAATAACAGCAGCAACTTCTTACCTAGCACATATTATGTGCCAGGTAATACCCTAAGTACATTAAGTATATTAATTTATTTAATGCTAGCAATGTGGCAGATATTATTATTATTCTGATTTCACAAATAAAACAACTGAGTCACAGAAAGTGTTAACTAGTTTTGATGAGGTCACATAGCTGGTAAGTGGCAAAGCAGTGAATAAAACAGGCAGTGTGATTCCAAAAATTGTGCTTTTAAATACATAATGTGTTTTACATGATGTTAAGATAATAATCTGGTAGTAATTTTTTTATCTGAAATCCTATATTATATAAATAAAACATGAATTAAATGAAATGAAATATGGCAGGAGAAAATTCGCCACTAATCTCCTTATCATAATACAATTTCCTTTACATCCTACACATAAACAGATACATACATGACCTAAAGGGAATTATAAAAGGTAACAATAATAGAATTAAAAATCGAATTTCTGGGGTGCCTGGGTGGCTCAGTCAGTTAAGCGTCTGACTCTTGATTTCAGCTCAGGCCATGGTCTCACAGTTTGTGGGATCGAGCCCCGTGTTGGGCTCTGTGCTGAGAGAGCAGAGCCTGCTTAGAATTCTGTCTCCCTCTCCATTCCCCTACCCTGCTCGTAATCTCTCTCTCTTGCTCAAAAATAAATAAACATTTTTTAAAAAAGTAATCTTAAGGAAAAAAATCAACACAAATTTAAAAAATGGACATACACCTGTACAGACTAAACACACACACACACACACACACACACACACACACACACACACACAAATGCAATGGGCCAACAAACACAGGAAATTGTTCAATCTCACTAATAAATACATACATATATGTATATATACATATAAATACATATATGTGCATATATACATATAAATACATATATGTGCATATATACATATAAAACATATATGTATATACATATAAATACATATATATGTATATGCATATATATAAAGCATCTATCACATTGGCAGAGATTCAAATAATTAAGAACACGAATTATTGATGAGAATAAGGGAAATGTACTCTCATGGACTGATATGGAAATTATATAGGTATAACCTTTCTGAAGAGTAATGTGGCAATACCTATCAAAATTTTAAATGTAACTATTCTTTAACAGAACAACTTCACTTCTGAACTATAGAGAAATACTAAAGAAAAGGGCACAAGGATTATACATATATATAGTAATATTCATAACTGAAAATAAGTTAAATGACTACCAATAGAAGAGTGGCGGTGGTATCCAGCCCCCAAGAAGACCCTGGTGAGTCACACTCTTAAATAACCTCCTCCTACAATGGCTTAGGGTTGGTTTTGTGTAACCAACAGAGTATGTTACAAGTGACAATGTGTGACTTGGCAGATAAATCATAAAAGGCATTGTAGCTTCTTCCTGGATCTTTTGTATCACTCCTTCTGGGAGAAATCAGCTACCATGACATGACAACACTCAAGAACCCCACGAAGAGGTCCATGTGGAGAGAAACCTAGGCCCCCAGCCACCAATTAGCACCACCCTGCTAGCCATGAGTGAAACACCTTAGAAGTGGATTCTCCAGTCTCAGTCAGCCTACCTGACATAGGACTGTAACTGCATGAGAGACTCCAAGACAGAAATGGCCAACCAAGCTTTTTCCAAACTCCTGAACAGAAATCATGAGAGATAATAAATGATTACTCTTGTTTTGGGTAATTTGTTACACAGCAGTAGGAAAGCACAGAGTGGTTAAATAAATAATGGTCCATCCATATCCTGGAATATCCTATAGCAAGTAAAAATGATGTATCTCTTTACATATTCGCAGTAATTTGAAGCCATCTCTGGTTAATTTTAAAAAGCAAAATACTGGGGCGCCTGGGTGGCGCAGTCGGTTAAGCGTCCGACTTCAGCCAGGTCACGATCTCGCGGTCCGGGAGTTCGAGCCCCGCGTCACAGTCTGGGCTGATGGCTCAGAGCCTGGAGCCTGTTTCCAATTCTGTGTCTCCCTCTCTCTCTGCCCCTCCCCCGTTCATGCTTTGTCTCTCTCTGTCCCAAAAATAAATAAACATTGAAAAAAAAATTTAAAAAAAAAAAAAAAGCAAAATACTAAACAATGGATTATATGATTATATATACACATATATACATACATATATACATATTTATTTTATTTTATTTTTTTAATTTACATCCAAATTAGCATATAGTGCAACAATAATTTCAGGAGTAGATTCCCTAATGCCCC